TTTGGTTTCCTAGTGCATATAAAAGCTACGTTTATATTATCCTGTAGTCTATTAAGTGTGCAATAGCATTATGTCTAAAAAAGCAATGTGCTTACCTTAATTTAAAAATACTTTATTGCTAAAAAAAAAAAAAAAATGCTAACAATCATAGATAGGAGTCTTCACCAAAGTGTAATCTTTTTGCTAGGGGAGAGTCTTGCCTTGATGCTGATAGCTGCTGACTGATCAGGTTGTTGGTGGTTGAAGGTTGGGGTGGCTGTGGCAGTTTCTGAAAATAAGGCAAAAGTGAAGTTTGTCACATCTATTTACTATTCCTTTTATGAAAGATTTCTGAGTAGCATGTGATGCTCATAACATTTGACCTGTAATAGCACTTCTTTCAAAATTAGACTCAGTCCTCCCAAAGCCTGCCACTGCTTTATCAGCTGAGTTTATAGGATATTCTGAATTCTTTGTTATCACTTCAACAGTGTTCACAGCATTTTCACCAGGAGCAGATTTTATTTCCAGGAAACCACTTTGCTTGTTCATCCATAAGAATTAACTCTTCATCTAGATAGATCTATCTACATCGCTAAAACTCTGTATTAGCAATAATGCTGTTTTACTTACTTATCATTTGTATGTTCACTGGAGTAGTACTTTTAATTTCCTTCAAGAACTTTCCTTTGCATTCTCAGCTGGCTTAATGGTTTGGTTCAAGAGGTCTAGCTTTTAGCCTGTCTTGGTTTTTGTCATGCCTTTCTATAGCTTAGTTATTTCCAGTTTTTTTTTTTTGTTGTTGTTGTTTTGTTTTCTTTTTGTTTTTGAGATGGAGTCTTGCTCTGTTGCCCAGGCTGGAGTGCAGTGGTGCACTCTTGGCTCATTGCAAACTCTGCCTCCTGGGTTCAAACGATTCTCCTGTCTCAGCCTCCCTAGTAGCTGGGATTACAGGCACTTGCCACTAGGCCCAGCTCATTTTTGTATTTTTAGTAGAGACCAGGTTTCACCATGCTGGTCAGACCTCGGCCTCCCAAAGTGCTGGGATCATAGGTGTGAGCCACTGTGTACAGCCATTTCAAACTTTTGATTTAAGGTGTGAGACATTCAGCTGTTCTTCACTTGAGCACTTAGATGCCATTACAAGGTAATTAATTGGCTTAATTTTAATATTGTTGTGTTGCAGGGAATAGGAGGCCTAAGGAGAAGGTGAGAGATGGAGGAGCAGCTGGTTGGTGGAGCAGTCAGAACACACACAACATTTATTAATTTTGCTGTCTTATATTGGTTTTGACTGTGGCACCTCAAATCAGTTACAGTAGTAATACCAGAGATCACTGATCTCAGACTATCATAACAGATTTAATAATGATGAAGTTTGAAATCTTGGGAAGAATTATCCAAATATGACACAGAAGCACAAGTTTATAGGTGAGCACATGCGGTCAGAAAAATGGCGCCCATAGAATTGGGCACAGGATTGCCAGAAATTTTCAGTTTGTAAAAAAAAATGCTGTATCTGCAAAGCACAGTAAAGTGAAGCACACTAAAATGACATATGCCTGTATATTCAGAATCTTTTGGCAATGAGATATTATGGATAATTTTTGTGTATATGGTAACTTATAGAGGAATGATGTCATAAACTCAAGATAATTTGGGTTTGAGTAGTAATGAGTACCTCATAGGTGGTCAGAGTCATATATGTATGAGCAGATAGTAACACTGAATGTTAATGTGAAACGTTTTGGTCAGGCAGATCTCTTTAGATTCTGGAAAAATATAAATTTATAAATATATGAGGAGTATATGCTCTGGGAATACTGAAATTAGTGAATTGGTAAAGGAAATCAGAGAAGAAAATGTTAAGGAGAGTGTAGTTTAAGATTTTGATATTTTATAAAATATTGGTTCTTTTTAGCATTTGTCACATAAATTTCATCATTATTATTTTGCCTATAGTCATTAGCAGCTGAAGAGAAGACGACTACAGAAAAGCACCTTGAATTATCACCTAGACCCAAGCAAGGTAATACTATTTTGTTGATTTCTTGGCAGAGAAGATATGAGATTACATTCTTCTGTGATTATTTTAAAAATTTGCTTTCTAAAAAAGTTATGTGGTTTGGGTAGACTATATTCATAGTTAAAAAACATCAAGACAATGTAAAAAAGTATTTTTGAAAACTCTTTCATTGCTGTCACCATCTACTGCATTTCTCCTGCCCACCTACAGATAATTAACATTTTTTGTGTGTCCTTCCTGAGTTCATTTTTATCACAGAGCCCAGTAGGTTAGCTCATGCTCATAGCTCCAGGGTTTCTTTTTTTTATTTTTTTAATCTGATTTGGGAAAGAAATGTTACCTATAGCATAAGAACTAGACTGCTTCAGGCTATGAAATTCTTCCTTGATGAATTAGGAAAATTTCAAGCTATAAGAAGTAGAAAATTCTGTTCAAACACTAGAGTGTTTGGACAAATTAGGTTGCATTTGTGTCCTGCAGCAGGACATCCAGAGGGCTAGACTCTTTCTGAATTCTGTAGCCTGAGTGTGGAATTGGTTCTCATGGTCAGTAGGTAGTGGCTGAATTCTTTAAGCTGAATTCTTGGAAGAGTGTAGGTGCTGAGGACTTTCGCCAAATCTGCTCTGCCTTTCCTTTGGGAAGGAATGTTTTTCCCAGTATCTCTACCTTTGGCTAGAAGCTATTACACAGGGTCGCCTCCACTAAAGATACTTGAGTGAAATTAAGGATTTGTAGATTGGTATGTTGCTGCTAAAGAAAATTGGGGTTGTTAGTAATGAAGAAGGGGTGGATATCAGGTAGGCCGCTGGTTCTGCTGCCACAGTCAGTAAGCCCTGCTGTGAGTGTATAGGAAGAGTGACGACTTGTGACTTACTGGATCTTGCTCTGTCCTGGCTCTATAATCTTTGAAAACTAAGCTAAACATTCTCAGTCTCAGTTTTGTATCTGGAGAATGGACATAATCATTGGGTTATTATGAATATTAAGTGAGCTAAGAAAAGTAGATAAAATGCTTAGTTAAAAGGTGCTTGATTGAGGATAACAGTTGCTTATATGTCTGATGGCAGAAAGAGCTGTGTGAAAGACTCTTCAGAGCTCTGCAGAATGAACTAACTTTCTGCAACATTCTAAATCATATTATTATTTCAGTGACATAGAAGGGGGTTCTTTTCAATGCAAATGAAAAACAAAATTTACCAAAATGTTTCTTTAAAATTCATAAAATAGTGTATTATGGAATAAACTTGTACACATCTTTTAAATACTACTTTTAAATACTATAATCTTTTGATGGAACTGCAGAAGCTATTGGCAGAGACAAGCCTCTGACCTTATGCACACATTACAAAAGCATGTTCCCCCACTCTGTTTCCCAGCTGTCTTAAAAATACTACCGCCTCACCCAAAATATAGTATAGAATTTTTATCTTGGAATATTTGTTAATAGAATTTCTTAAACTAATACTTTAGAAGCTACTGTTAAAAATGAACCAGTTCTAGGAAATTCCTCAAGTCCCTTTTTCTGTCAATCTGTACTACAAATAGCAAGCCTTTATTAAGTTATCGACAATGTTTTTGCTTAACAAGCTGCATATATTATAAATAAAGTAACTATACATTCATACAAGCTCTTTTAACCTTTCAGAATATATTGATCATTCTGTACAGTAGAAAGTACATCAAAGTATTGGTCAAATAAGTACGCATGGGAAAATCATCCAAAATATCATTTTGTTATTAAAGACAAGGTAACAATTTATTTAATATTTCTTTCTCAAAGTTGAATTTACTATACATATTTTAAATCTCCAGAAAAGATTCAAACTATATCTGTTTAAAGAAAAATGTTCCCCGCCCCATATACTATAAAGATTTAGAAACCAAATTAACTTGATCTTTGAATATTACAGCATTTGGCACTATGAGAAAAGGAAAAAATTAAAATTAGCTGGCTAATAAAAAATTACTAACTTTATTATTATTTCTGGACCTGCCTTTTTCCTCACTGGACCACTGGCTTCTTAAGGGCAGACCCCATCTGTTGCTCATCTTTATATCCCAGCTGAACTAGTTCCCAAAGGTTGGTTCACAGCCTTTGGAAGTACCACAAACTGGGTGGCTTAATCAGCAGAAACTGTCTCACAGTTCTGTAGGCCAGAACTCCAAAATGAAGCTGTTGGCAGGGTTGGTTCCTTCTGAGGGCTGTAGGGGAAGAATCTGTTGTAGACCTCTCTCCTTGGCTTGTAGATGACTGCCTTCTCCTTCTGTCTCTTTGCCAGGTCTCTTCATATTGTCTTCTCAGTGCATGTCTGTCTTTGTGTCCAGATTTCCCCTTATAAGGATACCAGTCATCTTGGATTAGGGCCCACCCTAATGATCTCACTTGAATTTGATTACCTCTGTGAAGACCTCATTTCCAAATAAAGTCACATCCTGAGGTACCGAAGGTTAGGACTTCAACATATGGATTTTGGGGGGGACACCGTTCAGCTCATAACACCAGGTGCTAGGACAGTGCCTCGCACACAGTGGGCACCCCAAAATGTTCAGTCTGGCTAATATTCATCCTATGGTTCCATTGGAATGAGGCTTGATCTCAAGGATACTCTCTTTTCAGCAAGTAAAATGAGTTACTAATCAATTCCTGGTAGTGGTTTTAACTATCTAGTTGTTCAGTCAGGTGCCTATAATTCATGGGTTTATAAATCTAGAGTCCTGTTCTCTCAGGTTTTGAATGACATAACTAATGATTATCCTGTCTTTTAAATTAGGTGGTACAAAAGCACCAGTTACATATTTCCTTAGATACTCACACCAAACTAATGGTGAAAGCAATTGCAGATCTGTCTGACTTGGGAGCTTCACATAATGGTTAAGAACATGGACTCAGAAGCTAAACTGCCTGGGTGAATCTCTCAGGCACCACAGCTGCTGGCGGAAAAGAGGCATTACATTTGGGAAGTCATTTCCAATGAATGACTCATAACCTAGAAACTGTATGAATAAAGCTAGTAAATTCACCTAAATATAAAGGGAAAAACAGCATGGCCAAAATGACACACGTAGGTCTGGTAGGGTGGCACACGTCTGTAGCCCCAGCTACTTGGGGAGGCAGGAAGATCACTTGAGCCCAGGAGTTTGAGGCTGCAGTGTGCTGTGATCATGCCTGTGTATAGCTGCTGCACCCCATGCTGGGCAACATAGCAAGACCACATCTCTTAGAAAAAATTACACGTGTATACACAAAATTTAAAATTCAGCAAAACCAGGGAAAACATTTGTGGCTCATGTCACAGACCAAGGCTGAACTTTTTAATAAAGAACCATCAGAAGTTAATCCAGGGGAAAAAAGATAACTATTGCAAAAATAATGATTATGAAGGGACTGTTTCCAGGAAACATAAATGATTTTCAAACATATGAAAAGATGCTCAGCCTCAAGGGCACTGAGAGATCATTTTTTTCTGATCAGTTCATCCAAAATCTTAGCATATGTCTGTTTGTTCTTTTATGTTCTTTTGAGGTCTTTTAAAAACATGTATTTTGGTTTTACGTATCTTCCAAGTTTCTTATAGGTATTTTTTTTTGCTACTGCTTTAAATTTGATTTCTGTATTGCAGTTTGTACCTTACTACCTTTATTGGACTTCCTTATTAATGGTAGTAGCTTTTCAGTTGATTTCTTAACTTTTCCATGAATTCATTTTATAATTTGCAAATAGTGATAATTTTCTTTTTGACTTATTTTTCAGATGCGTAACAATGATAGAGATTGATAATGTCTCTTGCAAGCAAGTACTCAGCTTAGTTTTATTAGCTATTTAAGATAGATGTAGATTCTTAAGGATATTCTGGATAGTTTATTTTTCCTTTTATAACATGAACGATAGGCCACTTCAGTAATTCTAGACGTTTGTGGCACAAAGTAAGCATTCAGTAAATGTTGACTATTCCATGTTTTTGTGCCTTTGTAAGTACTGTTTTTTCAGACATCATCTTGTCAGTGAATCCTCTTTTCCTGATCAGTGCAAAGTAGAACATTCAGTTTTTTGTGCCACCATTATTCTGTGACATACATCTAGTATAGTGTTAAGTTTTTTCCATGATTAGTGTTTCCTTCCAGACCACACATATTCCTTGTGAGGAGTTTTCTTTTCTTTTTTAGAGACAGGATCTTACTCTGTTACTCAGGCTGGAATGCAGTGGCACAATCATAGCTCACTGCAACCTCAAACTTTTTCACGTAAACTTGTCCTCTTGTTTCAGACTCCCAACTAGCTGGGACTACAGGGATGCACCACCATGCCCAGCTAATTTTTAAATTTCTTATAGATAAGGGGTCTCACTGTGTTGCCTAGGCTGGAGTTTTCTTTGTTTCTTCATGGCTTACTGTATCAGAGGGGTTCTGTAAATATATATCAAATGAAGCCTAAGTTTATTTTCTGTAAAACACGAATTTTATAAATATCTAATCTCTTAATTTCATAGTATTTTGAAATGTGCTTTGAAATATGTCAAATACTATACCACATAGGATAATATATATATATATATGTACATACATTTTAGCATTATATCTACAATTATGAATGTGAACAGAATAATTGATTTTTATTACATGTATATTCTTTTTCTGATCAGTGTCAGAAAAATTTGCTGTTGATTTTTGATTCTGCCAAGATGAAATAGCCCCATTCTGTCTAGGTTTTCCACCTATCAGAATGGCTACAATAAAAAATAGTAACACCACCAAATTCTGGTGAGGTTATGAAGAAACTGGATCACCAGTACATTGCAGGTAAAATGGTATAGCCACTCTGGAAAACAGTCTGGTCATTTCTTAAAGACTAAACATGCAATTACCATATAACTCAACAACTGTACCCTTAGGCATTTGTCCCAGAGAATGAAAATTAAATTCACATAAAATCCTGTACACAGGTGTTCATAAGCAGCTTTGTTCATAATAGCCCCAAACTAGAAACAACACAGATGTCCTTCAGTAAGTGAATGATGAAACAAACTATGGTGCATAGTACCATGGTGTACTATTCAGTAATAAAAAGAAGATAAATGTTGATATACACAACTGAGATGACTATCTAGGAAATTATGCTGAATGAAAAAAGCCAATCCTAAAAGGTTACATAGTGATTTGATTTATGTAACTTTTTTTTTTTTTTTTTGAGACTGAGTTTCACTCTTGTTGCCCAGGCTGGAGTTCAGTGTCTTGATCTTGGCTCACTGTAACCTCTGCCTCCTGGGTTCAAGTGATTCTCCTGCTTCAGGCTCCCGAGTAGCTGGGATTACAGATGCTGCAACCATGCCCAGCTAATTCTTTGTATTTTTAGTAGAGATGGGGTTTCTCCATGTTAGCAAGGCTGGTCTCGATCATATAACATTCTTAAAATGAAAACATTACAGAAATGCAAAACTGAGTAGTGGTTGACAGTTCAGGGATTGATATGGGGCCAGGAGATGATGTGACAATGAAAAGGTAATACAGGGCATCCTGTGGTGATAGAATTGATCTGTAGCTTGACTGGATCAATGTCAGTATCCTGGTTGTGTTGTACTACAGTTTTGCAAGATGTTACCATTGGAAAGACTGGGTGAAGGGATAAAGGATTTTCTTTGTTATTTCTTACATATAGTATATGTGAATCTACTACTATCTTAAAATAAAAAATTTAATTAAATACAAGGTTTGCTGTCAAGTGTTCTATGCACCCTGCTCCCAGAATTCTTTACGTGGCAAAGGAAGCACACAGAAGCATTCCTGTTATTCATAAGTTTGACTTTGTGTTTTGCATTTAAAAAGATTTTTTTGTTTCATCAAATATCCCAGGAAGTTATACTTTTATAAATGTTATTTCAAGTCTTACTTTTCCAGTTTTCTTTTGTGCTCCAGTCATTTTCCTTTTCTTGTATAGCTTAACCAGTTGTACTTCTTTTTCTTCTTGGAACGTAGCTTCAACTCAGAGAATGTTAGTGAGATTGTATATAGCACTTTAAGCAGTAAGATTCGATGTAGACATTCCTTTTCCTATCACAGAGTTTTGTGTATTTGTGACTTTGGCAAAATTACATGCATAAAATTGTATTCTGATAAATAGCCATATAAGGGGATCATATTTATGTGCTTTCTTTTTCTTCAACAGAAACCACCACATCTAAGAGCACCAATGAGCTTACAGACATTACATGGAGTTCCAGTGGAAGTGATTTGTCAGATGAAGATAAGACACTTTCTAAATTACAGAGAGATAATGGACATGGCTCTAGAATAAACAGATTTTGTAACAGGAACATTTTGTGTCCAGAAGATGGGGCCAGTGAAGGTAAATTGATAATTTTGTTACAAATCCAGTTTCTTGTTAAATATTGGATCTAATATTGGGAGAAACTTACGTTACTTTCTAGTATTTATCATTAACATTCCACCTATCAGAATGGGTACAATAAAAAATAGTGGCAATACCAAATGCTGATGAAGTTGTGGAGAGACAGGATCACCAATACATTGCAGGTACACAGTAAAATGGTACAGCCACTCTGGAAAACCGTCTGGCGGTTTCTTAAAGACTAACTATGCAGTTACCATGTAACCCAGCAACTGCACCCTTAGACATTTGTCCCAGAGAATGAAAATTAAATTCCTTTCTAATAGGATTTTACTGAGTCCCACCCTCTGAGCTAAACACTTCAGAAACATTTTCTTACTTAATATTTCTCACAGTAACTGTAAGAGATAGGTTTAATTTTTACAGTTAACAACTTAAGCTTGGACTTACAAGAATGGATTGGGATTCCATTTTAGGTCTCTTTCGCTCCATAGCCAATTCCTTCAACTTCTACACAGTGCTACACCCATACTGCCTTCTTGCCAACCTGTTATTGTTGAGTAAATACTGTGACAACCAATCTGTGATAGAGGTGTAACATACTGACAAATTTCTATTCAGATGGTGTTTTATATTGTGTCATGTTAGATAATTTAAAGCAAAGTTTCTCATCCTTGACACTCTTGACATTTTGGGTCAGATGATTCTTTGCTATGGGGAGAAGCACCTTCCTATGCCCTGTAGGAGATTCTGTGTCCCTGGCCCCTACCTGCTGGGTCACGGTAGGATCCCAGCCATAGGGATGATAAACAAAGACATCTCCAGATGTTGTCAAGGGTCTCCTGAAGTACAAAAATCACCCCTTGTTGATAACCACAGATGTAGAATTATGGAAATATGTCCTTTTAGAAATTTTGAAATATACTAATCATCTAGAGTATTTAAAGATCTTAATGTTTTCAAAATAAGCTTGTGACTTTTAACTCTGACAGTTCATGGTAGTTACTTAGGGTTAGGTTTGTACAGACAGCTTCTCGGGAGGGTAGTTAAATTCTTTTGACCACTTTGTATCTCATTTTAGTAATTCAATACCCTTGACATTTTAGTAGTTACCAGGTGAAGTGGTGTTTTAAGATTATGTATAAGCTGATAGCACCTGTATTATTAATTCAGACACATTAAATGAAATTTATTGTTATGTAACCCTTGGTTTGTCTTCATATGTTTCAGAATACAATTTCAGTAGTACAACTTTGTGCTTTTGTGGGTAAATAGTAAGGTTTGCAAATTATATCTCAATAAAGCTGGTATTTTTTTTTAAAAAGTTTATCTTCTGTGAATAGGGACATTGAGTACTTTCTAAAACTCTTAACAGTGGAAAGATGCTTTGGGCTAATTACTTAAGAATGTGTTTATAGTACTTTAAAATTGTTGACTTATCTTAAAAAGTTGAGCACTAAGTGACAAGTAGGTGATCCCTTGGGGTTTGTGTAATCCTGTATAAAGCTTCTGGTTTATCTTTCTCTCCCCCAACTCCCCCATCCTCTGCTCGTCTCCTTCCTGTCCCCACTTCTTCCTTCCTTTTTACATTTACTGGATAACAACTGTTAACATTTATCAAGTTTTTGTTTGACTCAGACATTTGGCTGGGTCTCAGATATGC